AAACAACAGCAGACAAGATGTTAACGTTTTATTGGGAGATGGGAAGTCGACATAGGAATGAGCAGAACTGAGAAACCTGAATACTGAATGTTAGAAGTTAAGTTCAACCCAAACCAATCCCCAAACTCAATGCCACTGAGTCAATTCCAACTCATAGTGAACTTCGAATAGAATTGCTTTATAGGGTTTCCAAGGCTGTAAATCTTTATGGAAGCAGGCTGCCTCATCTTTCTCCCACGGAGTGGCTGGTGGGTTCAAACTGACAACCTTTTGGGTAGCAGCCAAATGCCTTAGCCACTGCACCACCAGGGCTCTAAGTTACCCCAACAATACGCAGAAAATGAAAGCAGTAACAGTTCCTTGGAGTGGGGTGGGTGACATGTGGACTGAAATCAGGAGGATTGTTTAAAAGCTTTTGAAAGGAGCACTAGATTCTTTAGAGAGGAGACATTCCTCAAGAAAAAAAAAAATAAATAATTGACAGAATTAAAGGTCTAAAGTGAATGACTTTTGAAATGGTCTGTTGAGAGCCCAGCATAATGAACTAAAACACAAACAAAAACTCACACCAAGGCCCATCATTACTAATTTCATACCCTTGGAGAAAAGGATCTTATTAGCCTCTGTGGTTGTTGTTATGTGCCCTCGGGTGGAGTCCACCCAGCTAACAGCGACCCCTCCTTGGGTTTCCGAGGCAGTATTACTACAGAAGTAGATTGCCCAACCTTGCTTCGTGACTGGTGGGTTTGAACTACCAGTTTTCTGGTTAGCAGTAAAGTGCCTTAGGCACTATGCTACCAGAGCTGCCCCTAGGCCACTAGAACTCCAATTATAATCATGTTGTTGTTGTTGTTGTTATGTGCCATTGAGTCAGCCCCGACTCATAGCGACCCCTCCTTGGGTTTCTGAGGCAGTATCACTATGGAAGTAGGATTGCCCAACCTTCCTTCCGAGGAGTGGCTGGTGGGTTTGAACCGCCAGCCATCTGGTTAGCAGGCAAGTATCTTAGCCACTATGCTACCAGAGCTCCCAATTATAATCATAGTATTTAGAAATTCTGAGGGAAGTATCAGGCTATTATTTTAAAGTCAGTCTACTTTAACAATGGGTTTTTGCTTTATACTTGCATAAACAAAAATACTTGGTTTTCTCAGAACAAAGGAACTGTGTTCCCTATAGTTATTGATGATTCTTGAGATGCAGAAACTAGCTTGCCTAATTTAAATATTTTTTTTTTTTGTCAAAGGTTCAAAATGTCAGCTGAGCAGGCTAGACGCCCCCGCCTGGAGCCACTCAAGTCCTTGGACCCTGTGTGATCTTATGTATTTGACTGTGCTGGGTTGGTTTTGCTGCTTCACGGGTATTAGGCAGCAAAAGATGTGTTCATACCAAACGTTATGAGACTTTATCAGTTAACAGACTTGCGTTTTAATTTATTATTTAAATAATGAAATTTTATTATTAAAAATTTCAGATGCATGTAAAATAAAAGGCTGATCCAATGAACCCCTATATACCACTTCAACAAGTATTCATTCTTGACAACACCTGTTTCGTCATCCCCTCTGCCCGACCCCAGTCCTTTGATGCACGTCCCAGACATCATAACCCGTTGTCAGACTCATCCTTTAAGCTTCTTAGGCCACTGTCTATCCCCCAGGGGGAAATAAAAAATCCCCCAAAGGGGCTTTTAAAACCCAGAATCACGGAGTAGTGGCCCACTGCTGAAATTTCTTTGGTCCACAAGGTGTTTTTTAAAAAAAGTACCAAGAGTTAAAAATTAGTAGACTTCTCCTTTAAAAAATCGAAGCGTCTCCTGATCCATATTTCTTCACGCCACCGACGGGACCCAAGGCACGCGAGTGAATTCCTATGCCGCCTGGACACTTGAGTATATAAACCATCCTTTATACATTGCTACGCTCAGCTTCTATCCTAGCGTCCAGCACACAGCAAGACTTAAGAGATTGTTTAATAAATGTTCATTTGAGCACCGAGTGCTAAGTCATTTAAAGCTGCTTCCCCGTGCCCTGGAATGATCCCGCCAAGTCTCCTCGCGCCTCTGCCTTTGCGGTGTAGCCCGAATTAAAGACTCAGGTTTCAACAACACAACGTCCGAGGGGTTCCTAGGAACCAGGAACTTCGTGGCCACGCCGGCCTTCGGGAGTCCTGAGGGCCCGGTTGTTTGGAAACTCAGCTGGAATCGGCCGAGGACGCCGCATCCTACCTGCTCCCCTCCTCCGCATCAGCTGGCCAGCCAGCTGGCTATGTGGAGGCTGACCTTGCAGAGGTCTGGGAGCAGCTGGCCCGGCCCACCGGAACGCGGTCCTCCGCGATCCCACCCTCCCTTGCGCCCAGGCCACGTCCAGCAGGCTTCGCAGAGCCCTTCTATGCCACCGCAGCGCCTCTCTATGATCCTTACCGCTTTTAGAGCGGGTGTCATGGCGGCCGGCGTTGAGTTGGCAGGAGTTGCCTCCCGAACTGGGGAAAGTCCCTAAAACAGAGGAAGGTGGCTCAACCTGGATGATAGGAAGTTGAGAGGATGAGCAGAGGGCCCGAAGGAGTGACTGGGTCACTGGAGGTGGACCCTTGGTAAAGTCTCAGCCAGGCCTCGGCATTCCTAGCATTGGGTGCCGTTGTTGGGTAGCTCCCGAAACCGGCGTTGCCTGGGAATGAATGCTCATTGTGTTATGGAATCCTGCGTGTTGTGATTCGGACTAATCTCGTGGAGTCACCGGTGCGAGGACTCTTGGCGGGGTCGTCCGACAACGCTGGACGCTCTCTTCGGAGAGGACCAGGTCCTTGTCTGACCCACCGCGATGTCTTCCTGGCTTGGCGGCCTTGGCTCCGGCTTGGGCCAGTCCCTGGGTCAGGTCGGGGGCAGCCTGGCTTCCCTCACCGGCCAGATTTCAAATTTTACAAAGGATATGCTCATGGAGGGCACGGAGGAAGAGGAAGGTAATAGCTGGGGCGATGGGAAGAAGGGCTTTTTTGGGATCCAGTGAACGTCCGTTTGGTCTTTACTTCCATCTGTTAGGAGACGCGGACCGGTCGGAAAAGAGTGCTATCCCCCTTAGTTGCGCTGCTTCTCTTTTTCTCCGCGGAATTTCTCTGATGAGGGACGCCTGGGACCCTGGGGAGGCATTCTGGTTCTCCCTTTGCGTCCCCTGGATCTTTCTGAGAAAAGTGAAACGGCTTCAACGTTAAGTAGTTTATTTTTATTCGTTTTATCCACGCCCACTACTTTACTTTCGTTTTGGGGGCGGACCTGATTTTGGCTGTCTTTATTTATTTACTTAAAGTAATTGTGACAAGTGCCGTATTTTTGTTTTCTATTTTTGTTCCAACTGAAGTAACTCAAAATATTTAGTGACTTTTCTCCTTTCTGATTGAGGTACGTTATTTCTTCGTGAAACATGCTGTGTTTTCCTTATTCAGTTATTTCGTATTTTTGCTTGCTCTGCTGACACATTGTAGTGTTTCTGTTGAAAATGGATTTCACGTCATATTTCGACAGTTGAGGAAGTCGAACAAGGAAGAAGGCAGGCCCGATTCTTCGGATATCCTTAACAACCCTTCACGTTGAAGTCCTCATCCTCTTTTGCTAATGATTGGGGACCCAGAGTTAGTAGTAGTCGGTGGTTAAGTTAATTACTATTTTGATTTTTTTTTTTGACAGCAGGTACTATTTAGATCAAAAGAGTTCTTTAATTTCGGTTTGGGTCTGCTGCTTTATAAATGAATAAATTAGCATGCTGGTTTAAATTTTTTTTTTTTTTTTTTAATCTGGCTCTAACTGAGCCTTCCTGTTTATATGATTGAAATAGAGATGGCTTGATAGTATTTACGTGTAGATTTACAATTCTCAGGAGTGTCTTCAGAAGGAAGGAAGACTGGAGAGCTACTGAAAATGGTTTTACTGATTGGGATTCCTGTAGGGTGGGAGAGGGTGACCATGAGGGTAGGCAGAGAAGCGACGGATAAGGGCTGGTTTCTCCTTACATCCTAAGGTGAAAAGAGTCGGTTGTTTCTTTGACCCTAAGCCAGAAAGTGTGCAGCCCCCTAAGCTGGATGTCCCGCAGGTTAAAGGTGGAATTCATTTTGTTCTTTCCACATGTGCTTCTGTTCCTTAACCTTAGTGATTGGTTTCACCATCTACCCAGTCTCTAAACTAGAAATCTTTGTCATTGTTTTGTCTTTTTCTTCTCCTGTTAATCACCAAATCTTGCTCATCATGAATGCAGAATTGTTTCTCACACCTGCCCTTTGTTACTTCTGCTTCTTTGATTTAGATCCCCCTTTTCTCCCCCCTTGGCTATTGAAATTTCTTTCATGTCCTGTCACCTATGACTTCCTGTGACCTGTGACTTTCAGCTCCTGTCCATTTTCTCTAATATTATCATAGTTACTTTTCCAGAAATAAATTGGCTTTTAAAACCTCTTGACTGTTACTTACAGCCGATCCAAACCTCAGTTTGGGGAGGCCAGGGACCTTTGTTCCGGCCCCTTCTGCTCAGTTGCATACGTTCCTGTACAGCCACATGCCCACTCGCACCCAGAGCTTCTGCCCTACCGAACTTTGTCATTTGTCAGGTATCTTCACCACAGCAAAGTCTCTGCATGAAAAGCCCTTCCTTCTCTACCTCCTCCACCCTTCTTTGCTTGGAAAACGCTATTTCCTGTACAACCTCACTGGCATGTCAGGTATTTGGTGAAACCATTCTCACTCCCAGGTAGGCTGGACTGATTGCAGGTAGCTGTGTTCCAGCAGCTCTGTGACAGCACTTGCCATGTTGAGTTCTAATTTATCTCTTTCCTGGATGCCCAGCGAGGGGACTCTGTTTTATTTGCCTGTATATTACCAGTATGTGCCATCGTCCTTGGTACATAGTAGATGCTCAGTAAAAATTTTGCTGAGTGATTAAAAATCTATGTAGTTATTTCCTGCATTTCTACCCCCCCCCTTTTTTTTTTTTTTTTTTAATTAGAACAGGGTTTACCCATCAGCCACTCCTTGGAAGGAAGGTTGGGCAATCTACTTCCATAGTGATACTGCCTCGGAAACCTAAGGAGAGGTCGCTATGAGTCGGGTTTGACTCAACAGCACATAACAACAACATTTAATAATTTATTGGTTTAAATAATTTAAAAGTAGGATCAGAGTAGTTTGTTAATTCATTCAGCAAGTACTCATTGAGTGTCTGCGCTGAGCCAACAGCGAATAAGAAAACAGTTCCCAAATAGCACTGTTGGTACACCTTGAAAATCTCCCATGTTTACAATATCAGGAGGCTACGGCTCTACCAGGCACGAAACAAACCAAACCAAATCCATTGCAGTCAAGTCAGTTCTGACTGAGAAACCCTATAGTAGAACTGCCTCATAAGAGTTTCCAAGGCTAAAATGAATTTGCTCTGTAAATTTCACCCAAATCACAATTGAAAAAAAAAAAAAAAGTTTCCAAGGCTGTAAACTTTATGGAAACCAACTGCCGTATCTTTCTTCTGTGGAGCTGCTGGTGGGTTCAGACCTGAGATGTTGCAGTTAGCAACTGAGCACTGAACCACAGTGCCATCAGGGTTCCTACCAAACACAGTACTGATTTATTCAAAGTTAGGAGATTGGGGTATGAATTGAAATCCCATTCTGTGCATTACAATTTAAGGGACCGTTGGTAAATTATTAAGTATTTGTAAAAGTGTAGTTTCCTCATCCTTTGAATAGGAATAATCATTATGGGGTTGTGAAGACTAAACAAAGTCATGAATGTAAAATGCCTAGAATTTTGCCTGGCAAATAAAGCATTAATAAACAGTTGTTGTTGTTATGTGACGTCGAGTCTGACCCGGCTCATAGTGACTCCTCCTTGAGTTTCCGAGGCAGTATCGCTGCGGAAGCAGATTGCCCAACCTTCCTTCCGAGAAGTGGCTGGTGGTTTTGAACTGCCAGCCTTCTGGTTAGCAGTCAAGTGCCTTAGGCACGACACTACTAGAGCTTCCATATTTATTTCTTAAGGAATTCAGAATTTTTTTTATCTGTTTAACTTCTCCACTTTAATCTTAAAGAGGTCAGGATTTTTTGGGGGCAGAATCTACAGAAGCCTCCTTTTTTATCCTTTGAACAATTGCTGCTTCTAACAATTACCTTCCTAAATCGATGAGATTATGCTTTGTCCTCATCAGAGTAGCAATTAGGCAGTTCAGAGTTTAAATATCAAACAAGATACATAAACATCCACAGAAGCAATTCTACCTGGTGATTTTCAAAACAAAAAGTGGGTTTGTTGCTATTCTTGATTGTATGCCGCATGTATTTTCTTTTGACTTAAACTATAATTCAGAGAAGTTATTTTTATACTATTAAAGTGAGTAATAAACAATGCTTGTATCTAGAAAAAAATCTGACTGTGGCATAATGATTTTCCCACTGCATGGATCGTGTCATTTGGGCACTCCTTGGCCTCTGACCCTTTAAATGCAAATGAACAAAACCAGACTGAGCTCATTCCCATTTTTAAAAATTGTATCTATGTTTCTTTAAATAAATGTTCCTTTAGTCCATTTTCATTCTTTGTTTATAGGTCATTAATTATTTGACAGTCGTGGGAGCAGAAGAAGTTAGAAATAAGACCTCAAAGCCTTATTGATGAATATGTCTCATCTAAAATTATAACATAAGCCAACAAAGAAAGAGGTTCAGTTTGCAAAACTTACTCAACAAAATTGTAGTGAATACTTCCAAGGGGTAACACCGGCAGTCCTGAGGTGTAAGATAGGCAGAAAGTCACATATGGCAATGAAGGACATTAGTGGCACTAGGATATTGTGATGAATATCAAGGGCTGTCTGTCTTCTGAATTTGCTTTCAGATCAGCATGCCAGTGAAATAGATTTTCCTTAAAATGTCTGTTTATTCATATGGTGTTGATCAAATATTCAGTATGTACTGTTTCTTTCATAGCAGAATTACCTAACTCTAGGAGAAAGGAAATTGAAGCCATTCATGCAATCTTAAAATCAGAGGTAAGGACAATTAAGAGTACTGTCAAACTTAGATTTTTCCTTTTTGAATCGATGAACGTTATTCACACTTTGTTTTAGCCCTCTCTCTTTGTTGGTGTCCTCCTCACCCCTTTTGTATCTTGCTTGTTACGTCTCTTTGAGCTTGACTGGGCTGTCGTCTTCGGTGAAGGCTAGATTCACATGTTACTGCACTTTGCTGTTCTGTAATAATCCCATCCCTGCTTTTGTGTGCTGGCAGTAGGAAGACTGCCAGTTGTAGAACTGAGAGTGCTAACAGTTTACAATTATCAAGGGCTTACTATCTTCACAAAGCTTACGCAATTACAGTAGTAGTTCTACATAAGTAAAAGGTAAAGTCCAGTTCTGTTTAGTTTAGAGCTTTTTAATCTTGTAACTTTTTTTTTTTGAAAAAGTGGTATTTGGATGCCTAGAAATGAAGAATATGGGAGTAACAAATGAGTTCGACTATTTTATTCATCTTTAGTCAGTGCCTAGGTGTGACTATCAGCCAGCCACTCCTCGGAAGGAAGGTTGGGCAATCCTACTTCCGTAGTGATACTGCCTCGGAAACCCAAGGAGGGGTCACTATGAGTCGGGGCCGACTCAATGGCACACAACAACAACAACAGGTGTGACTAGTTCAGGACACTGTACTTGCAGGGATGAGGACAACTTGGAAAGGGTTTAAAGAAAAGCCGTAAGGAAGGGAAAAGATTTATTAAAAGTAGGATCTATTAGAAAGGACTAAAGGAACTCAACTCTTGAGCCTTGGGATAAGAATAGTGAGGGACATACAGTAATTTAGTGAAAGATATTCTCGGAGGACTGTGGGGAGCAGGTTTCCTTCTCTGCTAATCCTGAAGAGAGGAAATTCAATTTAAATATAAGACTGTTGATTAACAATGAGCATTGTTGGACTCTGGTCTAGATTACCAAGGGGAGATTGTGGAGTTTGAAAGTAGAGGGGCTTCTCAAGAGGAACGGCAGGGGTATCCTGCCTCAGTGGAAGATGACAATGTGGAGGCACTTAGAAGCCTTCACTCTGATTGCCTAGTAAGTAAGTAGGTGCTCTAGGGACAGAGAAACTTAATAGCTACTTTGTTTTGTAAGGCGGAGATGGGAAATCATTCCTATACTCCCTGAAAAATTCCTTGAGAAAGCACACATTATGACATCCCCCCCAGAAGCATTGAATGTCAGAGGTGTGTGTAGTGGCTTGGCATTAACTTAGGGGAATTCACCTGTACACATGAAGGGGAAAAAAGAGAATAGAATAACCTGCTCAGTGAAGCAGTGCTTGGTATTGAGCTTGAGAAGGGAGGTAGACATCTGTCCCTCTGTTGAACTCCAGTCTTCTAATGTCTCTCCTAGTGCTACCCTTGGACTATGGCAAGTATAAGTATAGTGTTTAGTAGAATTTTTTTTTTTTTTTTTTGGTACAGCACTTCCCTAAGTGCAAGCCAGTTTCCTCATTTGGGTTTAATCAAAACAGCGGGAGTTCTTCAGATACTAGAGGAAAGTGACTGTTGAACTTCCCCTGGGCTTTACTTTTAAGCTAACTGTGAGTGGACCTGGATTTTTTCTCATGTGCTGACTACCCCTTATGTGACTGCAGTATATCCCTGTTCAAGACTCCCTGCGTTCTGGTTCCCTAATGCCGCTCTGACAAGAATACACCACAAATGGGATGGCCTTAACAAACAGGAGTTTATTCTTAAAATTTGGAGGCTTTTAGTCCGAGTTCAGAGTGCCAGGCTCTAGGGGCTGGGTGAAAGCCCCTCAACCTTGGGGTCCAGCTCTGCCTCCTGTTCCTGGCCCACTGGAGCTAGAGGCGTTTCTTCACTCAGACAGCTGCTGGCTGCTGAGGCTGAGAAGCCCCAAGGTTGACAAGTAAAACGGCACAGTCCCGATGTTACCAATCCACATGGCAGGCCATTAACTTAAGTCCATCGTAAGTCCTAAGGTCGACAGAGCATAGCAGGCTGCTGAGCAATAACACAGCTACGTGCAGGGTCCCAGCGTGCCAAAGGCTAGAGACCATTCCCAAAGGCTTCTCCTTATATACAGGAAGCAGACCACACACCCAAAGGCAGCTACCCAGCTGCTTGTGGTAGATCCCACCATGGAGTTCATTGCCAGTCTCCTCATGGGGATTAACTACCACCAGCTGCCCAGCCACTCAACCAAGCCCAGCCAAGTTTACACACAAACTGCACTACCACACCCTGCTAGAAGAGAATTTGGCAGACAGCGCCAAAGCCATAAAGGAACATAGAATGTAAACATTCTGTTGAGAGTGTTTTGGTAGAGACAGTGAATTATCCAGAGGAAATAAGATCTGCTGACAGATGCTGATATTTGTAGCTGACTGAGTTAGTTAGTATTCTTTAGTTGTAAGTAGAGTAACCAAGCTAAGCTGACTTAGCCCCCTGTACACAAATAGTCACTGACTGACCATCTGGGTCCAATGGACTCTATTTTTCAAAATACTTTTTTTTTCTAATGTTGAACCATCCTTGCGTACTTGTGTTTCATTATGCATCCTTGCGTTTCATTATGAACCCCACTTGGTCATAATGAAAGATTTTCTTGATATGCTGTTGGAGTCTATTGGTTAGGATTTTGTTGGAGATTTTTGCATCTGTATTCATGGTGCACAGGTATCAATCAGCCCAGCTTACAAACTGAGACAGACTAGAAAGAAGGAAGAGGCCGTCCACTTCTCAAAGAATTGGCCAGGGAAAACCTTATGAATAGCAAAGAAACACTGTCTGATACATTACCGTGCAACTTTATGAATAGTCCGGTTAGGTTAGAAGACTCTCAAAATAGGACTGGGAAAGAGCTGAATCATCAGAGT